AGCTGCGCGGCCGAGGAGGGCGGAGACGCGGGGGTGGCCGGGGGCCGCGCGGGGCAAGTCCGCAACCAGCCCGGGCAGGGAGGAGAGCGGTCAGGGCCGCCCCCAAGGCCCCAGGCGCCGGCCCTGGGCCGAGGGGATCTCCATGGTGGCCGCCGCCCCGGGCCTCGGGCCGGACCCCTCCTTCCTGCGGGCTGCGACAGGAGCGCGCCCGAGCTACGGGTCGCCGGCGGGGTCCGAAGACAGCCGCGCGCGCCTCGCCGACGGGCTCCGAGGCCTGAGGCCGCCTCCGCCTCCGCTCTCCGCCGTCCCCGGCTGGAGGAAACCCGCAGGCGATTGCCCACCGTGGCTCTGAAGTTCAGGGTGCTTTTTTGCGCAGGGCTTGGGACCCTCGCTTGGGTGGCCGCGGGGAAACGCGGCAGACTCCGGCTGGGGCAGCGCAGGAACTTGGGGCGGGCCGAAAGCGACAGAGCCGGGCCAGCCGGGGCCACGAGGGGGAGCGCGGGAGGGGAGGGGCGGGGCGGGGCGGGGCGGGCGAGCGCGCCGTGTCTCCTCCTAAGTTGTCCGGCTGACGTGCTAGCCCCGGCGAAGAAAGGTTCTGCTGCGTGCAGGTGGTGCAGCCCTGGGCTCCTCCTCGTCGCCCCCAAAGGACCCGGGAGTTGCATAGCCAGGCACGGGGGTCGAGCGAAGGCGCTGAACCGGTGGGCTACAGAGCCCACCCCACTTTGTCCCGGACATTGCACTTTATCCCACCCCGCTCTGTTCCTGATGGAGCCTCACAGCGAGAGCACCTGCAGGATCCGTTTTAGGAAGAGGGCAGTAACCTTGAGCCCCCCAAGATGTGACAGGGCGTGAGAGTCGCTGCACCAGGCTCTAAAAGGGCGTGGGAGTCCAGCCTGCCCTCCCTGGGGACGGACTAAGGGTGTGGGGAAGTAGGGAGCCCAGAGGCCAGGAAGGAAGGAAAGAGGACCGCGGCCAGACAGCAGCAGGTCTCTAGTGCTCAGCGCCTTTCTCCCATTTCTCAAGATTGTTATTAGGGCTTGAAAAGGTCATTTAACCAGCGACTGCTACAGATCTGGTGTGTGCCAAGCTTTGCTTTGTACTAGGGATCGGGCAGTAGGCTGGGCACTTCTGCCCAGAGACTCACGTTGGGCCTTGCCCAGAGGAAAGCAAACAGGAAAATAAATGATAGATGAGCCCAGCTGACTCAGTACCCCAGCAATCGCTAGGAAGCCAATGAAACAGAGTGATGGAGGCGTGGGCAAGGGGAGTAATTTAGTTTGTGTGATCAGACGGGACCTTCCTGATAGGAGACAAGAACAGAGGCTGCTATAGGAAGAGCTGATACACAGTCCCTGAGCAGAGAACAATCTGTGGTCGAGAAAGGCCAGTAGTTTGTTGTTTTGTTTTTGGGGGTTTTTTTGGCAGAAGCGGGGATTGAACTCAGACCCTTGCTCTTGCCAGGGAAACACTTATTCTCCTGAGCCATCTCCCCAGCCCCGAGAAAGGCCAATAGAGATGTAGCAGAGCCTCTCCCCCACCTACCCAGACAGCTGAGAGGTAGACTCGGCAGCAGGGAAGTCGTTAAGGCCCAGGAACCTGTGGTGAAGGGGTTTAAATTTTACTCTGCCATGAGCCCATTTGAAAAGTTTGGAGCAGTGAAGTGACAAGGTAGTATGTATGGGGTTTTTTTTTTTTTTGTTTGGTTGGTTGGTTGATTTTTTTTTTGTTGTCGTTATAATACTAGGAATCGAACTCACGATCTCAAGCTTGCCAGGCAGGTGCTATGCCTCTGAGTTATATCCCTGGCCCCATATATGTTTTTTGTTTGTTTTTGTTTTTTGTTTTTTTGCAGAACCGGGGATTGAACTCAGACCCTTGCGCTTGTCAGGGAAGTGCTTATTCTACTGAGCCATCTCCCCAGCCCCCCATATATGTTTTTTAAAAGATCACTTTGAGTTAGGTGTGGTGGCACATGCCTGTGATCCCATCTCTGGGGAGGCTGAGGCAAGAGGATCTCTATGCGTTCGAGGCCAGCCTGGACTACAGAGTGAGACCATCTCAGAAAACAGGAAAAAAAAAATGTTCATTCACAGTCACTATGTGGAAAGCAAACTATAGGAGGCAAAGAATAAAAGTAGGGAAGCCAGGCAGGAGGAGAGGCTGGCAGATCGGGACAATCAGGGTGGATGAGAGGAGGCGGAGCTCCCGGAGCAGTGGGATGCGGAAGTTACTTCCTCTCCTCTGCAGCTCAAAGAACATCTCCCTAGAGGACAAGATCCATTTACTTGGCTGCAGGACACAGGCCCGCACTCCACACTATCATATAAATTACTCAAAGCCCCCGTTAACGGCAGCAGAGGCTGCAGAGGTCCTGGAGGCCTGCGGGCCAGTGCTCCCATCTCTCCCGTTCCACAGCAGATCCCTACACAAACAGCGGGTCTTTGCCCCTTAACATAGCCAACAAAAAGCGGCCTTGAAGCAATGGCTGACAATGACATTTACTGTTCGTCTCTTCCCGAGAGAGCTGGTGGGGAAATGGGGCTGACTGGTTTTACTGTGAAGCCTCGGAGGTGTCCTGTGAGTTGCCCCAGCCAGGCTCCGTGGCCTCTGAGAGCTTAGGAGCAACCCCGACAGGGTGACCTGGGCTCTGACTCCGGCTTCCTTCTCTAGCTCCGCCGCAGCTCTCCATCACCCTGACCCGCACCCGGTTCCATGTTGGTTACCTGGGCCCAGAGAAGCTCCTGCCTCCCTCCGGATCCCTAGGGAAGCCCTCTCAGCCGCTTGCCCTACTAATCCCTGCATCATGTTCTTCCCATCCACCTTTATGAAGATGACATAAAAGCCCAGACCCAGGGGCCTCTCATTCCACTTTTCTTTTCCAAAGGAGGCACTGTAGGGAATATAAAAGAACGGAGATGTGTTTGTATGTGTGTCAACATCAAAATTAAAAGAATTAAAAGACCTGATTGGGTCAGACATTCACTACTCTCAGACCGGTTTACTTCTTCCTCCTACTGCCTGCCCTCCTCACCCCTGTTGGGTAGTGTCACTGGATGGATTTTTTTCTTTCTTGTATTTATTGATATAAATAAATAAATGGATTTTTTTTTCTTTCTTGTATTTATTTGATACAGGGTTTTGCTACACAGTTCAGACTCACGGTGAGTCCTCCTGTCTCAGCCTCCCAGTGTTGGGAAACAGGCATGTGCCACCACCCTGTTTCAGTTGCCAGCATGGCGTGCCTGGTTCCGGGGGCCAGTACAGTGTGTGGTACCAGGGATCGAACTCAGGTCCTTGCACATGCCAGGCAGGCGCTTAGACCACTGAGCTATCTCCCCAGGCTTGGATGGATGCTTGCAGGGGTAACTAGACCAAGAGCCACACACCCCAAGGGGTTCAGAACTTGGAATGAGTGGCCTCACCCCCAGGCAGGAATAAACTTCTGCCGAGCCACCCGAGGTCAGGAACTTTGGGATACTGTTTTCTTCTATATTTATCTTAGTGGCTAAATACAGAGTTCTGGGATCCGTTGGTTGCCCAATAGCCATTGGCCCATGATAGCCCATTTGGGTGCCTCCGTGTACCTGGCCTCGAAGGCTATTTCTGGGGTCAGGCTGGATGAAACAAACAGAACTGGCTATGCTTCCAAAGGCCAAAGCCAAGGATTAATTCCTTGTGCCTCTAAATAGTTCTTTGTCCTCTCCCTGGACAGAAAACCACTGAGCAAATAAAAAATAGCACAACATAACAATGAGCTAGAACCTGAGAGAAGCAGATTTGCTGGTGACAGTGATGTCACCTGGACAAAGGCAGGATGGTGGTCTCCTCTGCTCAGAACTCTGCTTCAGAGGGATTGTGGTGGCCGAAGAGAGAGTTGGCTGCACCTTTAGCTTCCTTTAGCTTCCATGGTGTGTCCCTTCTTCCAAATGGGGATGACCCAGCCTTACACGTCCGAGGTACAGAGAACACGCAAAGCGATGTTTCCAGCACCAATCAAGACACTTGCTTCTGTCCTACCACCTTCCCACACTGAAGGAAGGAGAGACCCCAGTAATGAATAGAGTCATCTTAGACTCCCTTGCCAACAGTCTAGCTGTGGCTTGGGGCAAGTCTCTTCAGCTGTATGGTGGAGTTCAGTACTGTGCTTGCAGGGCTGTGTGATGGGGCTTTGCAAGCTCCTGGGCCCCCCTGCTCCAGGAAGGTCAGAATCGTCTCTGCGCTCCCTCCCACCCTGGCAGTTCTCCTCCCTTGGAATCATTAATCCGCTCGGTAGAGGACCCTGCACCCCATCTGCATTTTCTCTGCAGAAGCTGCGTCAATCCACAGTGTACAGGAGCTGGGGAGGCCAATTAACAGGAACTCAAAAGCTCATGTCCAGATCAAGGTGCCAAAAGAATCGAGGTGTGTCAACTCTCCCTTGTAGTATCAGGACCTAACAGTTCGGGCCCAGCTTCCTAGTAATGATAACATAGTCAGGGGCATTGCTACCGGGATGGGGAAAGAAGTGGAATCCTGGGTCTTTGCCTGCTGCTCATTAGAAGCACGATTTGTGCTTTCTTCTGGGATGGCCAGGAACCTAGAAGTCACCAGCCATGACCTTTCCTTGGGCCATCAGATGCCCAATAGATAACTAAAAGAAGAAGAAAGCTTGACCTCCATCCTTTGTTGCTATAAATCCTGGGTCATATCTCCTCATATCTCTGCCCATAGATGCCAGTCACTGGAGGTTTGCAGGGACGTGCAACCACACGCAGAGGCCTCCAGGCCCTGCTCTGAAGCTGTGTCCACCTGGACTCCAGGGAAGGCAGCGCCGGCGTGCTGGAGGCCCCACTGACAGAGTCCTTTCCTGGAAGGGAAACCATCCCTCAGCCATAAAGATCTGAGAGCTGTGGCACCAGGGCTGAGACCACCATGACCAACTGGCCCCCAGGCCACCTGGAAAAGCTGGCCTCCTGCCTTTGGGGCTGAGCTGTGTGAATCCCTGAATCAAGGGAGCTCCCTCTAGCTACCTAGGCTGGATCCTTTCCTGTCTTCCCTCTAACTTTCCAGTTCAAGCTTTTTCCTGTAGATTTATGATTTTTGTTTCAGTATCCATTATTACTAAAAGTGATGTCCTGGGCTGGTGAGATGGCTCAGTGGTCTAAAGCACCTACTTAGAACAAGCTTGGCAGAGCACAGGGACCGCGGTTCAATCCCCCAGCACCACATGCCAGCCAGCCCCACCCCCTGGTGGGCTGAGCTGGCCACACACACACACACACACACACACACACACACACACACATAAATAAATAAATAAAATTTAAAAAATATTATAAAAAAATAATAAAAGCGATGTCCTAAGCTCATAGGTGATGAGCCTACGGGAAAGTGTTGAGGCAACATTGTCTGCTGGCTTCTGACTCCAGGTTCCCCGGACAGTGGCACCAGGCAGGTATCCTGGGACAGGTGCCTGAGATAATACCAACCAGCTCTGATGGACTGCTTATCTATGCTGGCATCAAAGCAACCGCTGTACATGGATTAGTGCTGTCAGTCTACACAAGTCTCTGAAGCTCATGCCAGGATCTCTCCTCGTCACTGACCGCAAGAGCTGTTGAACAGCCTGTCGGTGGGCCTTTAACTAGTGTGCGCCAGACAGTCAGGAGCACAAGCCGGGCTGTCTGATCCCTCCCCGGCCTGCTGCCACCCTCCTGTGGCTCCCTTTAGCCCCCGACCCTGTCCCCACCCAGCCTGTCCAAGCCCGGCATCCTGCTCACTTCACCTGGGCCCTGGGGCCAGTTGCTCATCGGCTGTCCTGCGCTGTGGGAGGTGCTGCCCTAGAGCCCGGGTCCGAAGCCAAGCCAAAGTGACCTCCTGGGGAGTGTCCTTAGCCTATGACATTTTGTTTGACTTGGAAGCCTCTGCTTTTTCTAATAACAGCTTGTGTCTGTCCAGCGCCTTGTAATCTTCACGGCACTCACCAATCCTCTCCCGCAAGGCCTCCTCCCAGGCCTCTTAACCACGCTAGGCCCGCCGCAATACAGGCAGGACAGGGTGTTCTGGCTCCACCGTTCGCTGGTTGTGTGACACTGGAACTGCTCGAAGCCTCAGTTTCCATATCTGTGAACTGGGGCTAATAATTGCGCCTGGCTGGAGGACTCGCGCACGCGCACGCGCACGCGCACGCGCACGCCACCTGAGCGCTGTAAGTGCCATCTGTCGTCAGCTCGACTCGCTGACCCGCCGCCCCCCCCCCCGCCCCCATCTGTGGGAAGAGACAGCAAGTCAGTTCTCGTCCTCAGTAAAGATGAGCTTAAACCACACGAACCCAACGTCCTCCTGAAGCTCCTTGTGGCATCAAGCACGCGCCCGGCATCCAGTAAGCGCCTGACCGATCCAGGTGCTGCCGTTATCCCAAACAGCAAGGCCCCCAAAGCAAGGCTTTAGAAGCCAACGCTGGAGCCGGCCACCTGCGCAGGTCCTGATGCTGGCCCTGTGGGTGTGGAGCCTGCAGCAAATGAATGGATCACGCCAGGGATCAGCCTCTCCATCTGTCAGCTGGGCCTGAGAGCCGCATCCAGAGCTGCTGAGACCGCAGTGTGGTCCGAGCCCAGGGCCACACTCACCGCACGCGCCGAGGCTGCAGGTGCTGCCTGTCCTGCTCTGAAAGCCGAGGAGCCCGACCTGGGCTGCTGTGGCCCTGGGCTCCAGGCTAGGTGGGGCTGGGGCTTGCAGGTCCCGCTGCTGCCCCCTAGCACCCAGGCGGCCCCTCCTTTTCCCTCCTCTTCCCTGGCAAGAGAACCCCATGCAGGAGATTACGGGGAAGACAGAGAGCCAGAGCAGAGCATGCTGGGATAAGGGAAAGCCTGGGAGCTCTCGGGTCACGCAGCAGGAGGAGGTCACTGATAGGTACAAGCCGCTAAATTATCTCGGTCCTGATTCAACATGGCTGAAGCCCCAAAACAACAGTTTAACTTCCCAATGACCACTTCCTCCTTCTCCCCACCCCAGGCCTGGATACCTTTCCTGCGCACACAAGGGAACCCCAGCCAGCTGCTTATGTGTCACTGAACCTGCCCCTCAAACTGCGCCCCTATCAAAAGTTCATTAAAAATCTCAGCCTTTCTGTCTCAGGTCTAAGGAATCCCCTCATCACCCGGCCATCTGTGTCCTCCGTGGCAATAAAGCACATCTGGCTGTGTTGTGCATCTGGCCGGGCCCTTTAGCAGTCATCCTGGCCTTGGCCCAGAGGCCTGGGTCGCAGCCCTGAACCAGGCCCTTTAATGTCACCCCAGAAGCAGGCCACACCACCCCCACAGAGGCCCTGGCCTTGAGGCGTTTCCATTTCTGAGAACTGATTCACCCAGAGACCAAACCAGACCAGACCAGACCAGTCTGGACAGACTCAACAGTGGGGAGAAAACAAACCGGGGGGAGAGCTGGGCAGGACCAGGGCAGGAGAGAGAGAGGCGAGGGGGGAGGGAGGAGGCGCTGCCTGCTGAGGAGCCCCATGACACAGGGGCTCCCAGCTAGTTTCTCTTCCCCAAACCCAGCTTGACCAATTCAAACTCAGATCCAGAAAAATGCTTAAGTCTGTATTTTCCCTTTCCAGTACTGGGGATTGAATATTCACATTGAGTCATATCCACAGCCTTTTAATTTTTGCTTTTTACTTTTAGACAGTGTCTCACTCAGTCATTAAATTCACCAGGCTGGGGTTGAACTTGTGATCCTCCTGCCTCAGCCTCTCAGAGTGCTGGGATTAGAGGTAACTGCCACCATGCCCAGCATAAAGTTGCCAAGTCTTTGTTTGCAGTGCTGGATAACTTGTTTTGACCTTCAAAAATGTCTTGCACAAATACCTTGATTTGGCTTTGAGGTTTGGGGGGAGTTGTTTTGTTTTTGTTTTTGTTGTTGTTGTTGTTGTTTGCTTGATGTTTTGAGAAAGAGTCTTGCTAGTAGCTCTGGCTGGCCTTGAACACACTGTATAGCCCAGCTTGGCCTCAACCCTGCTGAAATCTTTCTGCTTCAGCCTCCAGAGTGCTAAGCAGAGTAGTTCTAAAA